GAAAGAGGATGAGAAGTATAGCATGTATCTGAGTATCCTAAATTCATGCTAATGGAGACTGCAGAGAGGACTCGGGCTGAGAGCACTTGCTGCTCTGCCAGAGGACTGCAGTTTGGTTTCCAGCACCCACGTCAGGTGGCTTAGTCTCCTGACCCCAGCTCCAGGGAATCCAATCCTCTTCTGGTACCTACATGCCTACATATATGTGTGTGTCACACCATGTGTGCCCAGACACACATAATAAAATGATACAAATAAATCTTTAAGTCCATGATAGTTACCCTGTGTATATATTTAGCAGGGGTCTGTGTCCCTTCTTGCGGATACCACTATCTGTGAGAACTAAGCACACAGAACTGCACTTGTCTTATTGACATGGAACCAGGAACTCTGGAGATGTGTATTGCCCTGCTATCATAGTGATCCCTAAGAAAGTGTGTAAGTATCAGATGCTGTGATGTCGTCCCTGTCTTCACTGTTAAGTTCACAGTTGGGAGAACCTAATGGAATTAGAAACTGTACTGGCGGGGCTGGCAGAATGGCATTGGTTAGAGCACTAGCACTGGCTGCTCTTCCAGAGGTCCTGAGTTCAATTCCCAGCACCCACATGGTGGCTCACATTGTCTGTAACTGTTAGTCCCATGGGACCTGATGCTCTCTTCTGACATGCAGATGTACACGCAGATAAAACACTCATGCATATCAAATACACGAATACATTTTTAGATTACAGGTAAAGAGGGCTAACCTTGGTTGATCCCTTTCACGGTTCCTTCTATCCCTGAAAGGCAAAATAAGGGTTAAACATTCTTCCCTGTGCTCTGCTCTGCACTGCTGTAAACCCTCTGATCCTATTGCTCTGAAAATGCAGTTCACTGTGTGAAAAGCATACAAGACACAGTGTCTGCACGCCAGTATCATGGTGTTTGCTTTGAAAGTGATTCCAGCCCTTATTTATTTATTTATTTATTTATTTATTTATTTTGGTTTTTCGAGACAGGGTTTCTCTGTGTAGCCCTGGCTGTCCTGGAACTCACTCTGTAGACCAGGCTGGCCTCAAACTCAGAAATCCTCCTGCTTCTGCCTTCCAAGTGCTGGGATTAAAGGCATGTGCCACCACCGCCCAGCTCCAGCCCTTATTTAAAAACCATAAATAGTACTTTTAGTATTTTACAAAAGAGCATCTGCAGTATTGGGGTTTTATTATAGCATTTCATACATTTTTGTTTCTGTCATTCCTGTTCTCTTAACTCACATCTCCTGTCCCTGCTACCTGTCCTCTTCCTCTTCCTCTTCCCAGGGCCCCAACAGCTCTCAAGTCATATGTATTCTGTTGCTCTTTCCCTCTCCCCTTAAGACTCTTTTCTACTTTCATGGCTCTTCTTCTAGTTTCATGACATGTATACACACACCCCCATGTACACACATACCACACATACACATACACACATACATACATACAAACAATTAAAAACATTAGATTTATATGTGAAAGAAAACATGCAGCATTTGTCTTTCTGAGTCTAGCTTATTTTAATTCACATAACAATTTGTAGTTCCTTCCATTTTCCAGAAAATGCCATGATTTCACTTTTCTTTTGGCTAAGTAAAATTCCGTTATACTTGTGCTGTGATTTATCTGGTGATTGGCATCTTAGAGATTGTGAATGATTCAACAGTGAACTATCTCTGTGGTAGGACTCAGAAACCTTTTGGAGGCATATTCCAGTTTGTCAGTTCTTAAAGTTATTTTTGAACTTTGTCTGTGTCTTTGTCCCGAAGTAGTTTTCCTCCAGCATTTCAGCTTCTCATTTGTTTTGTTTTTTGAGACAGGGTTTCTCTGTGTAACAGCCCTGGCTGTCCTAGAACTCACTTTGTAGACCAGGCTGACCTTGAACTCACAGAGATTTGCCTGACTCTGCCTCCCAAGTACTGGGATTAAAGACATGTGCCACCACACCTGGCTTGTCATATTTTATATTAAGGCCTTTGATATATTTTAAACTGATTTGTTGTTGTTATTTGTTGTTTAAGGTAAGAGATAGGGATCAAATTTCATCCTTCTACATGCAGAAAGCAAAGGTTTCAAAGAGTTTGTCTTGTTTCCAATGCATATTTTTAATACTCCTGCCAAAAGCAGGTTGTCTATAGCTCCATGGGCTGATTCTGGGTCTTTTATTCTGCCCCATTGGTCTGTGCATCTGTTTCTGTCCCGGGACATGCTGTGGCCACTGTGGCTCTGTGGTATAATGTGAAGTCAGACACTGATAGCTGACATTGTTCTTCTGCTTAGGAGTGTTTTAACTATTCAGGCTCTTTTGTGTTTTTTCTATGAATTTTAGGTTATTTTTTTCTAGTCCTGTAAAAAATATCATTTGAATTTTGGAATCACAGTGAATCTGTAGAGCACATTTGGTGATTTGGCTGTTTCCATAATATGATGTTAATCCATGACCGTGGAAAGCCTTCCTAATGTCTAGTACCTTTAGTTTCTTTCTTTAGTACCTTGAAGTTCTCACTGTAGAGTCCTTCTACCTCCTTGGTTAGACACATTCCTAGGGATTTTCTTGTTACTAAGGCTGTTTTGAATGGTATAATTGATTCTGATTTCTTTCTTGGCAAATGAATTGTTGGTGTATAGGAAAACTACTGATTTTTAACATATTGGTTTTGTGTTCTGCCACTTTGCTGAAAACACAGATTTAGGAGTGTTTCCAGACTTCAGTGTACCTTAAGAAGTGAAACCATGCGTTCCTTTATGTACAGAATGGTGTCACCTGAAAATAGGGTCAGTTGACTTCATACTTGCTGTTTATATCACTTTTATTTCTTCTCTTATTGCTCTAGCTGCCTTTGAGCATTCTTTTAAATGAGAGGAGAAAGAAGGTACCTTGCATACTTCCAAATTTTAGAGGAAGCACTCTCCTTCAATGTTGGCTATAAGTTTGTTGTATGCTGCCTTTATATGTTTGCTCTGCTCCTAGTTTCTTTAAGCTACCTTGAAGGCATATAGAACTTTCCCAGATACCTTTTCTGTGTGTATTGAGGTAATCAATTCATTTTTGTCTTTAAGTCTGTTTACATGTTGGGTTACATTTATTGATTTGCATATGCTGAACCAGCCCTGCATCCCTGAAGTGAAATCAAATCATCTTTGTTCTGATGTGTGATCACCAATTTGTTCCCTTTGTTTGTGTGTCCTGGGCTTATTCTTCTGAGTGGATTTTGTTTGTAGTCTACTCTGTCAGCTCTGCCAGCCTATTGATATTTCCTGAGAAGGTTGATTCTACCTTTTACTCTTAGTTTGTGGATAACTTTGCCAGTAAGTTATTTTTTGGAGACAGGGGAAATAAATAAGTTTGTTTCTTAATCCAGTCCACCTGTATTATTTTCAGTGTTCGGTTGAGGTTATTGCTTTTAAGGTTAGAGTTGAGAGAGGCTTGCTAGTTCCAATGGTTGTTTTAGCAGTTGTTCTGGCCGTTTAATTATTAGTAGTAAACTTTTTTCCTCCTTTAGTATTAGGGGTGTGCTAGTTTCCTGTGTCATGCATAATGAATTTCTTCTCAGCTGACCTTTGGTCCATGGGTAGGACTCTTTCTTTTTCTGCTGTGTATAGTATTTAAGTGGTTTCTGCAATGCCACCTTTTTTTTTTTTTATCATGAATTGCATTAGTTTATGCTTACCTTGATATGTGAGGAAATGACTTATTGGGTACAGTGTTCTTGCTTGGCAGTTATTTATGTTTGGGGCTTGAAGCATATTGTTCCATGCTTTCTTAGCTTCTAAGGCTGCTAACATGTTATTCTAATTTGTCTTCATTGTATATGCATCAGCGTTTTCCCTTATACCTTCTAATATTGTTTCTTAGCTTTACATTTCTGACATTTGGAGCAGTTAGTGTTCATTGTTAACTTGACAGAATCTAGAATGACCTGGGAGATGAGCCTTTGGGCAAGCTTATGGGAGGTCTCTTGATTGCTTTAATAGAGGTAGGAGGGCACACTAGGGATGGAGTTATTCCCTGGCTGGACTCCTCAACTGTGAACATGGAGAGCAGGGGCTAAGCAGCAGCATGCATCCACCTCTGTCTGGTTCCCACCTGTGGATGTGATGCAACCAGCTGCATCCAGCTTCTACCATCTTGACTTCCTCTCTGTGGTGGAGAGGCCAAAATAAACTCCTCCTTTCCTCAGTTTCCTTGTCAGGGTCTTTCATCCCAGCAACAGAAAAACCCAAGACAGCATTGTAGTTTAACTATGATATGTCATTGTTCTCTGGTCCTATCTCTTTGGGGCTTGAAATGGCTCACATCTTTGAATGTCCGTTTTGAATGTCCTTGCACAAAAGTGCAAGGGATTTCAACAGAGAATATGATGGATGGAAGACATAAGGGTCTTAGCATTTCCTCCTTGTTGGGATGATAGGGTTTCTTCCTCCTCTTCAGTTGTCTGTGTATCAGGCTCTACACGTGGAGGGAAGGGTACAGCCCTTACTGAACCAGTGAAGACCCTTGGAGAAATAAACGGAGGAAAGGGCAGGACATATTGGCACGCAGGTGTAGAGACTGATAGAACTCTGTAGCCTTGAAGTGTAGTGACAGCTCCCACCCTGAACACGCTGATGAATCCTGTGTCTACTCCTCTGCAGATAACGTGATCAATGGGCAGGATTATGAAGTAATGATGCAGATTGACTGTCAGGTGATGGACACCAGGATCCTCCACATCAAAAGCTCCTCAGTTCCCCCTTATCTCCGAGATCCTCAGAGGAACCAAACCAGCACCTTCTTTGGTTCCCCTCCAACAGCCACAGAGACGACCCATGTGGTCAGCACCATCCCTGAGTCGTTACAGTAGTGCCCTCCCTGAACTGCTCTGGAAAGCAGAGAGCGGGCCTCACCAAACTGAAGAGCTGGTGAGATGCCGCCCTCTCCCTCCTCGGCAAGCAGAGAACTGCTGCGTACTGCAACTCCAGGGGAAGAGAAAGAGAACAAGAAGCCGCTCTGCTTTTCACCACCTACTCAGCAGTGTGGAACCTGCTAGAGAGCAGATCTCTGGTGGCAGTGTAGCCCTGTGGGCAGTGTCGCCTGCTGTTGGTTCTGCCATGCGTCTTTAGTACTTTTCCCATTGTGTGTTTTGTTCTCAGTCATCTTCCTTCAGGTCAGACCCACTTCCTCTTCTGTCCACTGCGCTTCCTGGCACAGTAAAGAGATTTGTATTTAAAGCTTAAAAACACGTGTTCATGTGGTTTCCACCAATTGGCTTTCTCTCTCCTTTGATTCAAATCCATTCTGAATATTGTGCTTGAGAAAACACATTTCAGAAAACTGAGCAGCCAAAACATCCCACAAAGAGTCAGAACAATTCCGAGTTTGGGTAAAGGGATTATCTCCAGTTGGTAGAGTTTATTTTTACTTGTGATTTGTGGTTCAGCCTGAATAAATAACTGTTGTGGGGTCAGAGAGTGAGCCCCACACTGGAGCCAAGGGAAGGGCAGGCCAGTGGTGGAGTGGAAGAGAAGGTGACTCCATTTTCTTATACATTTAAGCACCGGGTTCATATGGCCTTTGTAAGCTCAGAGCCACAACCACCCTTCACTCTTGGAACTCAGCTAATCAGCAAAGAGCTTTAAAGACCTCAGGGCAAATGCCTTCCTCTCATTGTGAACCCTCAGCCCAGGACACACTTCTGTGAAACCAGACTCAGCAAGGAACTTGGAGGTGACCAGGTTTAAGCAAGACTAGAGAGTTTCCCTTAAGAACTGACAGTGCACACAACAAGCTTGGATTCTCAGGCTGTAGCACAGTATTGTGAAATTCTCAGTTTCTCCAGTGGAATTAAGTTGTTGCTATGACTGTGAACATGCCTTTAACCCTAGTACCATTTGGAAGGAAAGGCAGGCTTTGTTTGATATCAGCCTGGTCTACAAAAAATTCTAGGACAGGACAGCTAAAGCTGTATAGAGAAGCCACTTCAAAAGTAAATGAATAAATAAATAAATAAATAAATAAAATACAAAAAGCTAAAATGATGTTCACATATATTTTATTGTATTTTGCCTGCTTCCTTCACCATAGCAATCAGCTGAATTTATATTGCACTGTACATTATATGTTACAATTTGCAGAAATGCATGTCAGGACTCCTGTTGGTCCTCATGTGCTGCCTGCCTCCCTTCATAGAATTTCAGAAGGTTTTTATAGACTCTTCCCAGCTGGCTTGCCATTGTCAGGTGATTGCCATTCCAGTGCACACAATGGCGGCTAAGTTCTCTTCTCCCTACAAGGGAAAAGAAGGCCAGCTCTCTGGTGTTCCATGTGGTCAGGTCATCTTCTGCCAGTAGCCCATTATGCCTGGCACTGTTCAGCCAACAACTGTTCCCTGGACAGTACTGCTGCCTTCCAAGCTGCTTAGATGCTTCCAGGACAGGGCCGTTCTTGCTAAACTCAGTGCCACAGTCCATCCTGATTGACTTTTGGGTGATTTTCAGACATGACCTGTTTTCCCTGGGAGCCAGTCCTCTGATGGGTGCCAAGGAGAAGATAACAAATGCATGGGATACCTGCAGGAGTAGCCATTTGTGGGGGAGGTGAGCTACCATGTGGCCCTGTCCTTCCTGCCTGTGAAGCAGGTCAACAAGAGGGCATGGCTGTAGGCTGAGGCAGCATGCCCATTCATTCTTGATCAGCTGAGAGCCACGAATAGTGTGTGCAGTGACTCCAGTGTGCCAATGCCTCAGACCAAAGACCTCAAGAGTGTCACGTTTGCTAAGGCTGATGCCTCTCCTACAGCTAACAGATGATGGTTGGAAGGCACAGCCAAAGAGCAGACAGAAGGTTACCACAGCACAGGTCAGGAAGCCAAGGAGCTGCGAAGGACTGTTGAAAACTAGTCAGGAGGCTTGCCTTCTTTGCCCTCACTGGCCCATCAGGTCCTGTCATTACCAGTCTTAAGTCCATCTTCTGAGATGAGGAATGGGGTCCTCCTCGGGGTAGAGATTCGGAAACCAGGGAAAGGCAGTTGACAGATACAAAGAAATGGCCTGCCATTTAAATTGCTGAAAGAGTTATAATCCCAGGGCACAGTAGTTTTGATCTTAATGTTTGTATGCTAGCACAGGCCCATTGGAAAGGGAAAGTTACTGTTCTGAGAGCAAATTAAGCAGCCATTCAGGTCTCATTTTTTATTTTGGTGAGATTGCCTGTGGATATTTATAGCCTGGAAATGTGGGAGCTATGTGTGTACATAGTATATATATTTTTAATTTATTAAGTTTTAAAATGTTATTTTTTTTTCAAGATGATGAAAAGGTTAAATAAATTTGAGCCAGAGAAATGGCTCAGTGGTTAACAATACTTACTGCTCTTCCAGAAGACCCAGTTCAGTTCCCAGCTTACAACAATCTATAACTCCCTTTGAGGGTTGGGGTGATCCCTTGCCTTCTTCAGGCCTCTGCAGGCACCAGACACACATACGGTCTACATACATGTGTTCAGGCCAAACACTAATATACATAAAAAATAAAAACAAATAAATCTGGTTTTTTAATAAGATAAATTCCTAGAGGAAGTCACACCACCTGTTACAGATGATTTTGTGCCCTGGGCTGATGGTACTGTAATGTTGGGAAGTGTTGATAGAGACTGGCGGTGTGGTCTTTCATGTGTTTGCAAGTCCCCCGCTTTTAAATTCAGTGGGAGCAACTGGATGTTTCCTCCTGTTAACTACTACTGAGTCAGAAGAGCTTCTCTCTGCAGTTAGCTCCTAAAACAGCTTGTTTAGAATATAATGTAAACCCGCTTCCAAGTTAGAAGGTGATATGAAAGGGTGTTTGAGAGATGAATGTCAGCAGCACAAAGCTGGCCCCCTTTTGTCTTTCTTGGTAGCAAGAAGTAGACCTTGGGTTGGTGAGATGGCTCAGCCGTTGAGAACTCTTGTTGCATTTCCAAAGGACCCAAGTTCCATTCCCAGCACCCATGGCACAGCTCACAACCACTAACTCCAGTTCTAGGAGATCTAGTGCCCTCTTCTGGCGTCCCCTGGCATCTGCACATACATGGCATTCACTCACACAGACATGCATAAATAATAATAATGCAGCAGGCAAGGAGATACTTGAAAGTTACATTATGTGTGTGATTCCTGAATTTCCCAATAACTGTTACTTAAAAAAACAGAGGTAACTGACTTTTCTCTCCTATGTTTAAAGAGATTGTAATGGTTCAGTCTTGTTGGCCAAAATCTCCATCCTGGGCAGATATTCCCCAGTAATAACAGTTGCCCAATGTTGTTGTCATGGCTGCTGTGAATAGAACATTTGACCCAAGAAAACTCCCAGAGTTCCACTGTAAGACTATATTTCAGTCTTGTTGTTTTGCTATGAAACATGACAGAAATGTACCACAGTAACAAAACTAGGAATCATGTTTGACTTCCTCCCACATCAAAAACTTCCAGTCGGGCTTCTGCTTTAATAGTATATTAGAAGGAGCTCTTGTACTTCCTTAACCTAGAGAGCCAGCGTTCCTATCCAGTGGCTCCCCATTCTGAACTCATGGAAGTGCCCCCCTCACACCCCATTCTCAGCCTGGAGGCACTGACCGCATCCTTCAGCAGGTACATAGACCTCGACTTCCACATGTGACCTGTAACTCCATCATAGGAGTCATCCTCCCAAGCTCTGTACATATTCCCAGACTTGAGAGTAGCTTATTGCCACCTACAAGCCCATATCCTTTACCCACCTGCTCTTTCATCAGTTATGAGGCATTTTAATTTACATAAATAATTATTTTGTTTTGCTGTTAATATGAACACCAGCCATATTTTTAACCAAGAGAAAAAAATGAGATTTAGAAGAAAAATAATGGATTGAAGACATTGCCATTCCCACCCTGATAGCACTTAGAAGAAGACATTTCCTCCCCAGTCCCCACTGCAGGAATTGTGGGTGATTTTTAAGTAACTACTGGACCGCCTAGGAAGATATTCCCAGAGTCCAAAAGGAACTATGCACATAGAGAAAATACAGTTTTCTCCTGCCTAAAGAAACTCTATTAGTATTCTATTAGCTTATATTTTTAATAACTAAGCTTAAAACATAGTTTATTTTGGATATTACTAGAACTTTGACCAATTCTAATATCTGTCAGGTACTCATAGAATCTATGAAAAAAAAAAGATAAGACTGTGAGATTAGGAAGCATACTGAGGCATGGCATGGCCAGCCAGTGTCACAGAGCAACCCTGTGCTTGGCTAGCTTTAAGCATTACAGATTTCGTGCATGAAAAGACTTAATTATATTGGATTCAAGAACTAAAGAGTCAATAAGTTATCTGTAAAATCAACAAATACCACACTGGTGTGCTTTTTGCTTGTCCTTGGTCAAGCTTGTGACTATAGTTAAATGAAGCGGGAAGTATGACGTATTCCCCAGGATGCTAACGGCAGACTGAATCAGCAGATTGAATTCACAGCACGTGTGTGTCAGTTGAACTATTATAGTTCATTATCGCCTCTACTTTCTGGGCAGTTGCCGGGACGCAGGCGATGATGAAAGCTACAAAGCACTGCTGCTCCTTGAGATTCTAGTTGTTTTTTTTTTTCTTTTCTCATCATAGTAATGAGGTTCAGCGAAGCCAGTGGCTTAAATGAGCGTAAACCTGTGCTCATTTAAGAGTGGGTGGAGATGGACAGGGTATGTAGCTCAGATGGAAGAGTGCTTGCTTAGAATGCCCGAAGCCATGGCTTCCTTTGCCACACAAACCAGGATGGTGGAGCATGCTTAGAATCCTGGCATTTGGGAGGTGGAAGTATAGGAAGATCAGGAGTTCAGGGTCAACCTGGGCTACATGGGACCTTTTCTTACCATGTGTGGAAGAAATGCAGGAAAAATGTATTGTTCTCTCCCTGAATAATTATGTCCGTTTACAATAAATAATGGCAACAGACTATTTCATATTTTCAAACAAGTCTTTATAATGCAATACTTGTTCTTTCTCTGAAATCCAAATAAAGAGTTTTAAAACTTTGTTGTCTGTCTGTACAAAGAATAACAAATTAATCTTCAATGTTAAGTGGTTAGTAATGGGGACGGCTTGTGTGTGTTTAGATGAAACATTGAGCTTGTTTCTCTGGCCTCCCAGGATGGACCAAGTAAAAATTTGCTTTATGGTGTCTGAAACTCCATTACAGATCCAGCCTTTACCAAAACCCTTTCCCAGCTTGGGGGTGGCAATGCTACCACGAACGAAGCTA